AAAAAAAAAAAAAAAAAAAAAAAAGAGAAAGATCCCACATTGGATCTCACTCGCGAGAATGATAGTGTTGCTGAGGAGCTGTTAGTGGGAGTGGTGTCTGCAAGAAAGCAAAAATCCACACTAGATAAATCAACACTCTTTTGCTGCAGGGTGCAATTCTGATTAATATTGCTCGAGGTGGTCTCTTGGACTATGATGCTGTTTTTAATCATCTCAAATCGGGACATTTGGGCGGTTTAGGAATTGATGTTGCTTGGGCTGAACCATTTGATCCTGATGATGCTATCCTTAAATTTCCAGAGGTTATAATCACACCCCATGTTGCTGGTGTTACGGAAAAGTCCTACAGATACATGGCCAAGGTAAGTCCTAAGTTGAGCTATCTTGATGACATGTTTCAATCAATCAAATCAACAATGCCTCAATTCCAAACTATTTGTGATCGGGATATGAATCCCTTTTTATATATTTTGCTCTATTCGGGCCAATTTCATTTCATTGGTGGGAAACTAGTTTCAAATTGTTCGCTTACTAAAAAACCTTTGGCTTGTCTGTGTTTTGATCCACGTTTAAAATGTTAAAACGTTTTGTTCATGCCCTTCTCTGATCTCTCTCCTTTTATTTTTAATAACATATCTTTTCATATTTCTGAAAGTTAGGTTTACGAAGTGTCTGTGTTTTCTGTTAGATGAACTTTTGTAGAACAAACAAATTACAAGTAACATAGTATAAACATCTCGGCAAATAGATATCATTGTCAAGCCTATATATGTACATGCAAGCGACTTTCTAAAAAAACTGAAATCCGTAGATTTCTCTAGTTTACTCAAGCTCATCAAATAACCAAGCTATTCTTAAAGAGTCTTTTTGTATCCATTTACGGACTTAGGGTGTGTTTGGTAATGATGGAAAATGTTTTCCACGGAAAATGTTTTTCTGGAAGACAAGTGATTTTTTTACTTATTTTTTGGTGTTTGGTTACAACAACCTAGTAGAATCTCACTAGTGGGGTCTGGGGAGAGTAGAGTATACGCAGAGTCGCAGACCTTACCCCTATCCCGGAGGGTGTTTGGTTAGTAAGGAAAAAATATTGTCCCAAGAGCATTTTAATATAATTTAGACAAATATTATAATCCCGGACCCTGGACATCAACACCCGACCCCGAACTTGACCCCGGTCCCTGACCCCCATACCCGACACTTGGCCCTCAACCTTCATGTTTCGTGCCGCGAAGTNGGGGAGTGACAGTCGGGGTGGAAAGGTTGAAAGAGAGTTTTGGAAAATATTTTCCTAACGAACTCATTTCCTTCGCAATTGGAGGGAAGTAAGTGAATTAATGGAGGGACATGAGTTCATTAGGAAAATATTTTCCATAGCACTTAAGCCAACTTAACATGGGAAAACTAAAAAATATTTTCCTTCATACCAAACACACCCCTAGAGTTTCTGCGGACGTATGCTTCTTCAGTAGGCTGAAAAGCATACACAGTGCTGTCATTCTGCCTGATACATTTAACTAGAATAATTTAGGCTAAAGTTTATTTGTTAGAACATCTTGTCGAAATTAATCTTCTAATATGGAAATGGTTGAATTACAGGTTGTTGGGGACGTTGCTCTTCAACTCCATGCAGGAGAACCTTTTACAGGAATAGAGATTGTCAATTGAACCAATTAGTAACGAAGAAACATTGCCTGGGAATTATTCTTGTGTTTACATTTCTTGCCATTGAGGAATGTAGTTTCTTTACATTTCATATTTATCTTTGTATTGTCACACAAGTATCCTGATAAATAAATTATTAGAGGTCGTTTGGTTCACATACTAGTTATACGACGGTTTTTACTGGGATTATTTATGTGATATTCACTGAATAATAATGAGGAGATTGATACTCTTTTGTGTCCGAGAAATCTGTTTGGGGCCAAGACTTGGGACCAACTGCAGGCTTCGACGCTCGAGGATAATGGGCCCATCCAATCTACGCCTTTCTACTTAAATACAACCTTAATTCGCATGATGCACGACTCGAAGACCTAAGCCATGCATCATGCTCGAAGACCTAAGCCATCAGTCCCTTAACCCTTGCCACTTGAATAAGCTCTTCGACGCTCGAGGATAATGGGCCTATCCAATCTACGCCTTTCTACTTAAATACAACCTTAATTCGCATGATGCACGGCTCGAAGACCTAAGCCATCAGTCCCTTAACCTTTGCCACTTGAATAAGCTCTTCGACGCTCGAGGATAATGGGCCCATCCAATCTACGCCTTTCTACTTAAATACAACCTTAATTCGCATGATGCACGGCTCGAAGACCTAAGCCATGCATCATGCTCGAAGACCTAAGCCATCAGTCCCTTAACCTTTGCCACTTGAATAAGCTCTTCGACGCTCGAGGATAATGGGCCCATCCAATCTACGCCTTTCTACTTAAATACAACCTTAATTCGCATGATGCACGGCTCGAAGACCTAAGCCATGCAACATGCTCGAAGACCTAAGCCATCAGTCCCTTAACCTTTGCCACTTGAATAAGTTCTTCGACGCGCGAGGATAATGGGCCCATCCAATCTACGCCTTTCTACTTAAATACAACCTTAATTCGCATGATGCACGGCTCGAAGACCTAAGCCATCAGTCCCTTAACCTTTGCCACTTGAATAAGTTCTTCGACGCGCGAGGATAATGGGCCCATCCAATCTACGCCTTTCTACTTAAATACAACCTTAATTCGCATGATGCACGGCTCGAAGACCTAAGCCATGCAACATGCTCGAAGACCTAAGCCATCAGTCCCTTAACCTTTGCCACTTGAATAAGCTATGAAGGCCTTAATGAGGAGATTGTCACACGAGTTAAAAACATTTTTGGGTTAGGTGGAAAATAGAAGATGAAATGACTTTTGGCGGCATTATTACTGTGTACTTAAGATGAAGTATAGTGGAATTGCAATTATTAGACTGCAACTTTAATCTAGATCTTCTACTATTAAGAGCCCGTTTGACCAGACGGTCAAAAACTGCTTATTTTGAAAAACGCTTTTATTCAAAAATGTTTTTTGAAAAAGTACTTTTGCAAAATATCAGTTTGTATTTGACCAATTCGTTTGAATAGTACTTTTTGCAAGCTCATTGTATTTGGTCAATCTTTAAAAAAAGTACATTTAAGTATCAAATTACGAAAAAAGATAGTTAATATTCAATTTGCGATTATTATTATTTAGAAAAGGTGAGGAGGTGTGAGAGGTTGAGATTGGAGTGCCTACGAGGAGGTAGGCCTAAGAAGAGGTGGGGAGAGGTAATTAGACAAGACATGACGTAGTTTCAGCTGACCGAGGACATGACCCTTGATAGGAAGGTATGGAGGTTAAGGATTAGGGTAGTAGAGTAGGTAGTCTTGAGTGTTCATAACAGTACTATTGACGCACAATCTCGCTTTTTGTTGATAGTAGTTTTTTATGACTAATCGTTGTTTCTTTCATTGTTGACACCTTACTGTCTTGTTGTTTTTATTATGCTTTTATATGGCTTTTTGATACTATCCCTTCTTGTTTATATTTTCATTATTGTGGTACTTATGCTTTCCTGAGCCGAGGGTCTATTGGAAACAACCTCTCTATTCTCACAAGGTAGGGTTAAGGTTTGCGTACATACTACCCTCCCCAGACCCTACGGTGTGGGATAATACTGGGTACGTTGTTGTTGTTGTATTATTTAGAAAAGAAAAATAAATTTAAACATTTATTAGAAAAGAATTCAATTAAAATATAAAACGTAAAGTAAAAATATAAACTGAAAATTCTAATTAATATAAAATATAGTTATTCCAAAGAAATACTATTGAGTGTTAGGTATTACTTATTATTTATATGATAATTTAAATATGTCAAAAAATATTAGGAGAAAAAAGAAAATAAAAATATGATTAAAATAAAAAAGAGAATAAATGTATAATAGAAATTAAAAAAAAAAGGAAAGGAAAAGAAAATATTATATTAATGAGCCATAATTTGGAAAATATAAATTTATTGTAAGGTTATTTTTGTCTTGAATAAATTAAACTATCCACCTAGGATTAGCAATTAATCTAATTCTTAATGTAATAGCTTGTCCCAATTTGTGAATATTCTTAATCACAAACTTTAAAAGCCAAATGTTTAATCTTATACTTGCTTTCCAAAAGAGTTTTACACAATTATGAAACCTTGTTTTCTTCTCCTTTTTGTTTCTTAGTAATTTTTTTTTAACTTTCACAACAAATATCACTATCATGCACTCCCAGTTCAAGTCACTTTCAAATTTTTTCTATGATTTCTGTAGTGATACTAATATTGTCTTCTTTTGTCTTTTTGTTTTCTTGAGCCGAGAGTCTTTTGGAAACAATCTCTCTACTCCTTTGGGATGGGGGTAAGGTCTACGTACACACTACCCTTCCCAGACCCCATTAGCGAGATTTTACTAAGTTGTTGTTGTTGTTGTTGTTACATCGTACTAGAGTGAGACTAGCCAGTTAGAAGTTAGTCTTAAGATGCTATTGATCAACTACTGATGATGGGCTTTATCTGCTGTGTATTAATACCTTACATCTTTNTTACAGCGCACTAGAGTGAGACTAGCCAGTTAGGAGTTAGTCTTAGGATGCTATTGATCAACTACTGATGATGGGCTTTATCTGCTGTGTATTAATACCTTACATCTTTCTCGTATTTCCTATATCTCTTATATTGTTGTTACTTTGTTTTTATGGTATTTATGTTATGTTATGGATTTAATGGTATTTTATGTTGTTTTATTATGAGTCTATTGATAGTACTAATATAATGTCTCTTGTTGCCTCTTTGAGTCGAGGGTCTCCTGAAAACAGCCTCTCTGCCCCTCGGGTAGAGGTAAGGTCTGCGTACATATTACTCTCCCCAAACCCCACTTGTGGGATTACACTGGGTTGTTGTTGTTGTTGTTGTTGTTGTTGTTGTTGTTGTTGTTGTTGTTGTTGTTGTTGTTGTATATCTTCTTAATTTGTGTCAAGTTATACCACATATTCTTAAAACCAACTATAAATTCAATTATTATCCGATTTTAGGGTAACCAACTATCATGCACTCCCATTTCAAGTCACTTTCAAAAGAAACAAACAAAAAAGAAGGAACCGCCCAGTTTTTGTGTAGGTATAAAACCTAAATTCCCCACGTTGAGCTAACACATATTGTTGCGGAAGCCAAATGTATATAGTGTGAATAAGTCACAACTACTATATCAAAAATTATGACAACCACCAAATAATAAATAAGACAATAAAGCAACAATAAAGAGAACACCAGAATTTACGAGGTTCGGCTAATTTTGCCTACTCCTCGGACACAACCAATATTTTATTCCACTCCANTACCTTGGCTCTGATACCAATTGTTGCGGAAGCCAAATGTATATAGTGTGAATAAGTCACAACTACTATACCAAAAATTATGACAGCCACCAAATAATAAATAAGACAATAAAGCAACAATAAAGAGAACACCAGAATTTACGAGGTTCGGCTAATTTTGCCTACTCCTCGGACACAACCAATATTTTATTCCACTCCAAAAATACAAGTGAAATAATACTAAAGAGAGAAGATACAAATGCCTTAAACAGATGAAAAGGCAAATGAGAGGCGTGTTTAAATCCTAAACATTGGGCCTTCTTTTATAGGGGGAAAAATCCCCTCAATCTTCTCCCAACCGATGTGGGACTTTGACATTTTGTCAAACTTCAACAATTTGCCAAACTTCAACAAATAGACACATTTAATGATAAAAAATTACTCCTATTATTTACACCAATTCAATAAATACATGAAGCGTATTTTACAAATATAATTATTATTAGATTAAAATTAATTAATATATATATTATCACTTAATCATAATAAATTATAATTTAGCGTAAACATTCGGTACACAATCAAACTCATGAGGAACATAGAAAAGAATAGACATCTTATCAACATTACCATAGTCACCTAAAATAGTACTATCACACACATTGATGTCTTCTTAAATTATAATTATAACTTTTTTTTTTTGGTGGTGTCTTTTTTTTTCTTTGGTAAATTGTGGTGTCCTTTTTTCAAAGTCAGTTTCTATGAATGAAGCTTTTAAAATCAATACAACTACCCAATTATGACAATGACTTTATTGTCTCACCGAGAATAAGTCTACGACAATAACAACAACAATAATAAACTCAATATAGTTTTATAAGTACGGTTCAAAAAGGGTAGTATGTATATAACCTTATTTCTATTTTGTGAAGATAAAAAAGACCGTTTTCAATAGATATTCGACTCAGATTACTGAGGACATGACCCTTGACAGGGAATTATGGAGGTCGAGCATTAAGGTTGTAGGTTAGGGGAAAGTTGTGAATATTTCTACAGCACAATAGAGTGAGACTAGCTAGTTAGGAGTTAGACTAAGAATGTCATTGGTCGTCTTTTGATGCAGGGCTTTACCTGCTAGTTTTACTATACCAGCCATCTATTTCGTATTTCGTATTTCATATTCTGTATTTCATATCTCTTATATTGCTGTTATTTTATTATGCATTTTTATGGTACTAATATATCGGCTCCTGTTGCTTTTTTGAGCCGAGGGTCTCCTGGAAACAGCCTCTCTATCCTTTGGGGTAGGGGTAAGGTCTGCGTACATATTACCCTCCCCAGATCCCACTTGTGAGATTTATACTGGGTTATTGTTGTTGTTGTTGTATTCGACTCAGAGGAATGATGCATTAATTATCTGTGCAAATGTTTGTAAGATATTAATGGTTTACACCCATAAATC